ATATGTGTATATATTTTTTTATTTCGTTTTTTTTTTACATGTTATTGCTATCACATAGGCGACCAATAGTCCCCTGTGTGATAGCATATGCGTGACAGGCCATCTTTGTAGGGGGGGGAGAGGGGCAGTGTGTGCAAGGCAGGGGCAGGAGAGGAGCAGTCTATACAGTGAGGGAGCAGTTTATACAGAGGTTCCCTCACTGGCTGTCACTCTGGGGTTGATTTATTAAAGCTGGAGAGTACTAAATCAGGCTCACATCTGCATAGAAACCAATCAGCTTCTAACCTCAGCTTGTTCAATTAAGTTTTGGCAATAAAACCTGGAGGCTGATTGGTTTGTATGCAGAAGTGAGCCTGATTTAGTACTCTCCAGCTTTAGCAAAGAAAACCCTTCTAAGTTGATAGGGCTCTTTTCGTCTATGTTTCAGTGCATCCCTAAGGCTCCATGCACACTAGATGTTTTGATAACGTGTTTAGTGTAGTTTTGCCGCATTAAGCAGCGTTTTCCCACGTTTTCGTTTTCTAGCGGTTTTTTTTTTAACCAAAAATAATTTTTTTTGGTCAAAAAAATGTCCAAAAAATGCCGGTTTGCAGCGATTTACCATGATTTACCACGTTTTTCAGCGTTAGAGTGTTTTTACAGCTAAAAAAAACTCCTCTAGAAACCCACTAGTTCTGGGGGTTTTTTTCCCAGCCAAAAATCATTGATTGCAGTCTATGGACACATAGGATAACATGCTGAGGAGTTTCCTAGTTGTAGAAAAAAAATGTCAATAGCCAAAAACAGCCGCTGTAAAAACATCCAGTGTGCATGAGGACTAATTCTGCTACATGTCTTTGCTATAGAAAATCCCAATACGTGTAAATTAATTTGTTTACGTTTATAAACAAAGCAGGAGCTGCAGGGGAGAGATCTGTGTTGTGTACACACAGGTATCTCCCCCGTCGGTAATCTGCAGCGATCAGCGGGTGCCGGCGGGTAATCACTGTCCGGGACCCGATGATTGACAACTGTGGCTGCGAATGGTGGCGCAGGTAGGGTGCGCACCCTACCCAGAAATGCGAAATCACGTATATATACACGTGATTTTGCGTACCCATGCCACCCTGTAGCAGTACCGGTTAAAGGTGTTGGCTTGGTATCAATCTCTTGCACTCCTTGTACAGCAGAGCTCAGGAGGGGCCACACACTTTTGCACTCCCGCCATTCACAGAATCCCTTGCATTTTTTTCAGTGAAACATCATGATACCATTGACCCACCTTATCAGATAACAACCTCACATTCATTGAAAAAAATGACAAAGGATTCTATGAATAGTGGAATGCCCCTGTAGTTACTATGCTACTCTGGCTACCCCACTGCATAGTAACCACAGGGACCCCGAAGACTGGTGCCATTTCTTAAAGAACAGCAACTGCTACAGCGATTTTTGCTTCCCCAGTGATTGGGGGTTGTAAGTAATTTTCTACCAAAAAAATTCAGATTTTTACTTATAGGAGAGAAGCGTCAGAATTGGCCCAGTAGGCAAGTGGTTAAGGCACACAGTGAGTTTGAGGTGTTGATTTGGCCTCCAAATTCTCCAGATCTTAATCCAATTGTGCATCTGTGGGATGTGCTGGAAAAACAAGTTTGATCCATGAAGGTCCCACATGGTTCGCAACATGTAGCATTAGGGGATCTGCTACTGATGGCTTGGTGCCAGACACCACAGATGCCTTCAGAGGTCTAGTGGTGTCCATACCTTGACAGGTTATGGTAGGTGATCATAATGTTCTGGCTGATTGGTATATTGTATATACCTACAAGGGCTGTGGGGCAGGGAATACCCAGCTGGAAGCTTCCTGGCCGGCTCACACGTGGGTTTGGATCCTAGTCTGAACATCCTGTGCTCATCACTTTTCCCTCACAGGGACACAGAAAGCAACAAAAACCTGACAGAAGTTCTAACACTTTTCTATTGTATCCAAATATACAAAATAACTGCTTTTATTTAGGCTTGGTTCACACCAGGAGGCAATTTTTTTGTTTCTGTGAGTAGCCTATGTGTGAGAAACACCAGGATCCCTCCTCTGGACACAAGCCTCCTCTGCAGCCACGCTTCCACTGGGGTCCTGGGAATCCTTAGCTCAAACCAGAGCCAATAACAAAAATGCTCATAGTGTAGTATATTGTCACTTTATTATGTAAAACTTAATAATCTTCCATGTGGAAATGTTCGAATATACCAGCATAAAAAGACAATGTGGCTGAACAGCCACTCTCTAAGATGGCCGCAGAACCTTCGTGCAGCTCCGGCGGCGTGACGTCACAGCGTACGGCTCCTTCTTGACGCGTGCACGCACGTTCTCAAAAGATGTGTGCCTCATTTTTCATGTGCTGCACGCACGTTCTCAAAAGATCCTGTGTGCCTCATTTCCACATGGAAGATTATTAAGCTTTTTTTTTACATAATAAAGTGACAATATACTACACTATGAGCATTTTTGTTACCTTGTCTCTAAGGATTCTGACCCGACCACCCCATCCTCTGTACTGCGCTGTCCGTGAGGAAGCGTGGCTGCTTTGATAGCTGCCCGACGTTGGATCCTGGTTCCATGCTGTCTGTCAGATCCATTTACTCAGGGGCCGCGGGGTCTTCCTGCAAATTCTTGTTCAACATATTGCATTCATTAATCATGCACATCTGGTGAGTTTGCGCATTTCTTACAATCTTTCACACACACCTTTCTGGTCATTCCTTATTCCTGACCAAGCCACGGATTTATAGGATGTCACAAGTGCATTAGGACTTTTATGGAGCTCTGTATGCTGACCTGATCTCGTCAAGCCTTCACTAAATTTATGAACACTTTTTTTGTTATAAGACTTCTCACAGTATCACATTTATTTTTGGCGCCCAACCTAGCGCTTTATTCACTTATATTGTAAATCACTATTTAATGATTAATTGATTTAGTAATATTATTGATATTACACATTTATTTGTATATTTACATTCATTATTATAGAGCTGCACTGTTTTTTTTTTTTTTTAGATTATTTGCAAGGCTTTAGGGTTCCTTTTTTCAGTGCATATGCAGCTTGCGCAATTTCTGTCCTGAGAACTCGCTGATTTTTTTTTGAGTTATAAACATGATTATGTGTTTACACATCCTTGGACGCATTTTAAACGTGTATCTGCTGTAAATACACTGAATGTGTGCCGCCACAGACATGTTTCTGATCTATTTCTTGTTTATGATGCTAAATGCCGCTCGTTAATGGCCCCCAATGCAGCTGTCTGATTGGCCCAGTTCATTTCAATGAAGCTGCATACAGATGTGTAGAGGACTAGACTCTGCACACAGCATTATTTATGTCCTGTGTAAACAAGGCCTTAATGGCACCACTGCTTGTCTACAAAGGAGCATCACATTCTTGTACGCTGCAGGAAAGCGCATGATTTTTCAATTGTTCTTTGGAGTCAGTGGGGGGGGGGGGGGGGGTAGAGTCCCGTCACTGGTGTCAAGGGGGAGGGGGGGGGGGGGGGAATAGCGTCCCATTGTCAGTGTCAGGTGGGGAGGTGGATGTTATAGCTCCCCGTCGTCTGTGTCAGTTGGGGGGGGTCAGCACTCTGTCGTCGGTGTCAGTGGGGGAGGGGGGGAACAGTGCCCCGTCAGTGTTGGGGGGTGAATAGTGCCCCATCGTCAGTGTCAGTGGGGGGGTTATAGCGACCGTCGATGTCAAGTGTGGGGGGGGTAATAGCGCCCATTGGTGTCAAGTGGGGGGGAGGGAATAGCGCCCTGTCGTCAGTGTTAAGTGAAGGGGGGAATAGCGCCCCATTGTCGGTATCAGTTGCGGGGGGAATCGCGCCTTGTCATCTGTGTCAGTGGGGGGGGAGTAGCGCCCCGTCGTCGGTGTCAGTGGGGAGGGGCAGCATCTCGGTGTCGGGATAGCGTGCCCATTGTCGGTGTTAGTGGGGGGGGAATAGCACCCTGTCATCGGTGTCAGTGGGGGGGAGTAGCGCCCCGTGGGTGTCAGTGGGGGGGGCAGCGTCTCAGTGTCAACACTCCATCAGTGGGGGGATAGCACCCCGTTGTTGGTGTCAGTGGGGAAAGTAGCGCCCCGTTGTTGGTGTCAGTGGGGGGGCAGCATCTCAGTGTCGGGGGGGATAGCGTGCCCATTGTCGGTGTTAGTGGGGGAAATAGCACCCTATCGGTGTCAGCAGGGGGGGGGGGCGAGTAGCGCCCTGTGTCAGTGGGGGGAGGCACTCAGTCAGTGGGGAGGATAGCACCCTGTTGTTGGTGTCAGTGGGGGCAGCATCGCGGTGTCGGAGGGGATAGCGCAGCTATTCTTGGTGTCAGTGGGGGGGGATCATCGCCCCTTCGACAGTGTCAGTTGGGGGGGAATAGCACCTAGGTGTCGGGGACAGCACCCGTCAGTTGGGGGGGGGGGGATAGTGCCCCGTTGTTGTCAGTGGGGGAAGTAAAGTAACGCCTGTCATTGGTGTCAGTGGGGGGGGCAGTATCACAGTAGCGGGGTATAGTGCGTCCATTGTCGGTGTCAGTGGGGGGGGGGGGATATGCACCCTGTCATCGGTATCAGTTAATGGGGGGGGGAATAGTGCCCCGCCGTTGGTGTCAGTTGGGTGGGGGGGGGGGGGAAGTTGCACCCCATCATTGGCATCAGTGGGTGGAAAATAGCGCCCCATCCTTGGTGTCAGTGGTACTGCCTTATACTATAGGAGGACACACCCCGCCACTAGGTAACACAGCGTTAGTAAGCTGACAGTAGAAACCATTACTAGCTCCCTATCTATGGAGGAGGCCAGTAAGTGACCCCCAGTACAGCCCCATGTGATTATCCTCACCCAGAGCGGTCACCATCCCAGAGTACATCTCCACAGACTCCATCTCATATCACCCGCCAATCACCGCCCACCTCTCCGCAAGCACACCAATACGACGCGCTTTCTTGCGTCATCACGTAAAGCACGTCAGACGGAGCCGGTCACGAGGTACGAGTCCCGGTAGCCATGGTGATGCGTCCTGCTCAGGTGTCATCAGGTGGAGAATGGAGAGGAACCCGGGGCTTCCCGATCATCAGCAGCTGCTGGAGGAGCTACAGGCGGAGCGGAGGATGAAGTGAGCCCGGTTATTGTCATTATTGTAGCTCTGATCCTCGTCATCGCATTCTATTTATATATGATATGTTCGGCTCTCTCAGCTGGTCATACTTCCATCAGATGTGACTGTACTGCTTTATCCACATTCCCGCTCAGCGACCAGAGGATCAGCATGACAGACAGAGAGCATTCCGCAGTCTGCACTGGAACCCTAGAGTGGTGAAGTGGTGCCTTTCTATGGTCCTGGTGCCCAACCTGCGGCCCGAGGGCCACGTGCGGCCCTTTGGTACTTGCTGTGCGGCCCTTTGCAGGACTCAGCAGTCATGTATTATATGTACCATGTATATATTTATATGTATTATAATATAACCGGCTTTAGGGAACGGTTCACACCATAGAAACGCAGTCCAGATTTGTGATGTGTTCCGGTTCATTTTTCCCCTTTCTTTTTCTGCAATTTAAATAGGAACATTTGTGTTCCAATGTGTTTTTGATGCTTTTTACCTCATTCTAGTACAGTTCTGTGCAGGAAAAAATGCAGCCTGTTCTACTTTCATTTCTGTATCCGGAACGTACTGGAACTGCAAGCACTGATGTGAACTATGTCAATGTCAACCCCATCACCTACTTTCTGTGCATTTTGGATACAGAAAAAAAGAAGCTGAAACGCATATAGTGTGAACTGGTCCTTACCCACTTGACCTCTGCAAGGTTTTACCCCTTCATGACCAGGCCATTTTTTGCTATTCAGCACTGCGCTACTTTAACTGGCAATTGTGCCGTCTTGGAATGCTGTACCTAAGTGAAATTGATATCATTTTTTTTTTCACACTAATAGGGTTTTATTTTGGTGGTATTTGATCGCCACTGGGTTATTTTGAGCTTATATAATAAAAGAACAAATTTCAAGGAGTTGAAACTGCATTTATTTTTTGTCATACTCCCTGCTACATTTATGCACTTATCCCAGCATTTAACTAGGACACTAAAAAACGTAAAAGCATTCACCGCAAACACTGCCTTAATGTCTTGAAATATTGCAAGCTGAACACTTAGGTAGATTTCACAACACCAGAAATGACAATAGTAAATAAAGTGCAATGCAAAACACTTAGTATTTTATACAATCATTGCATATAAAAGCCAAAGAGTCCTCAGGAACGATCCATAGATGCATACAGACGTGCTGTGAAAGGGAGACGTGACATGCATGCACATCCAGGTGCACAGGGTGTTCAAACCCCGCCACCAAACAGATATGTGGCCACTCCTTAAGGCTAGGTTCACATCTATGCAGTTTGCATTTGATCCGTTTATGCAGTGCTCTTTGCGGTGCGATTTACATTTTTGCAGTGCGTTTTGCCGCAGTTTTTTTATGCATTTTTGTTTTATTTTTCTTGTTGCTAGGCAGATTAAAATGCAAAACTCAGCAAAAACACAGCAAAAACGTACTACATGCTTTTCTGCAGCGTCTCCATTGTCTATACAACCAAAAATGCAACTTTTTGCTTTTGCAAAAGTCCCTGACCCTTTCCAAAAAACTCACCTGGTGAAAATGCGGAGATGTGAATGTGTCCCATAGGAAATCATGGACTGTAGTGTGCTTCTGCAAAACTCTGCGGAAAACGCTTAGGTGTGAACCTAGACTAAAAGTATGACCCCTGAACTAACAGACAGGTCATATCTCACATTCCCCTACAGGGGTGTCAATAAGATGGGAGCTCTGCCGATCACCGATGGAAAGTCCTCACATGTGTCCGAATGGATATGTAAAAAACAAACAGTGCTCTCTGTTTGCTGGCTCTTTTTATCAGAAGTGCATGATCAAGCAGTCGGTATACAAAAGCTAGTCTAAAGATAGCTGCGGGATGATGTCCGAAGTGTGGCTTCTCCCCCGTACGCGTTGCGTCCTGGGTGGGACTTCATCAGCAGGAGTGGAGCCACGCCATCACCCTCATCACTCCTATAGCTCCACCGCTGCCATGGAGACAATGGAAACAAGAAGAACAACAACACTGCTATAAAATAGCTACAAAACAACACCAACTGACTGCTTAGCCTCAAAGTTTCATACAGCAGCATATGGATAATGAAATATAGCAAAAAAATACTAATAAAATATACAAGTCAACGGGAACAACTAAGGTGTCCCCCTATACATAAAAATGTGCCCACTTACGTTCTAAGTATAAAATCTTCAAAAAAAAAATCTAAAAAATTATTTTGAACAAATAATAAAATAGGATAGCATCCCACAGCTATCTTTTGCAATAATATAAGTGATGATTCATTCCAAACACTATATTATCGATCAAAAACAATTCAGGTCAAATTCAACATGTAATCCTGTAGGTGTAAGGCCTTTATTTGCATAAGTCCAAAAGAACTTTCTATGACTCAATTGGTGGATAAAATTACCCCCCTCCAGTGTCAGTTGACTTTCTCCATAGCCCATCCTAGGGCAGCTTGCTTTACTTCATCATCAGTGCTGAAATTCTGACCTCCGAGGGAGTCGGAGTGAGGTCCAGGCTGTAATGGAGATGTGGCAATACCTCCCAGCTGAGTTGCTGTAATGTGCATGTAGTGCGGTGTGAGCCCGGGCATTGTCCTGGAGAAACAGGACACCCTCAGTGGTCAAACCTGGATGTTTTTTCCACAGACGCGTATGCAGATCACTCAGAACATGACAGTAATATTCACTGTCTTGGTACCCAGAGTGCGCTAACTTTTCAAAAATGCAAATGTTCGCGAATGATTGTGTTCACCTTTCCCTCAGAAAGATTCTTCTCTTGTGCAATTTCACTACAGATTATGGTTGATTATCCAGGATCAGGCGTTCCATGTACCAAATGTTCACAGGAGTGACTGCTGTGGACTGGAAACCACCATGGCTGGCATTACCACTGATGGACGTACGACCATCTTTGAAGCGTTTACACCATTTAAACGTCTTACTGTGACTGAGCACCTCATCAGCATACTGTGCTTGAAGTCTTCTGTAGATATCCACGGGTTTTACGCCTTCATTCACAAGAAACTTTATTGCCACACACTGTTCCATGCACGCACTAACACTGTTGTCTGCCATCTTAATTAACGGTTTCTGGACTAGCCCCCGACATGTGCACCACCTATCAGGAATAGGACACACTTGCAACTTACTACTGCATGTAGTACTGCCATGCTAGCATCTCTTTTTATACCTGCAAAATTAAAGGTCCCGGTTTGACTTGAGCACCCCTTGTACTTTCTATTATAAAACATATCCAATAAAAAATTTTTTAAAAAAATCTAATTTCTTTATAAATTTAGGCCAAAATTGTATTCTGCTGCATTTCTTTGTTAAAAAAAATCCCAATAAGTATATAATAATTGGTTTGTGTGAAAGTTATAGTGTCCACAAACTATGATATATACTGGAATTTACTCAGCTATGATGCTATACTGGTAATGGGGGTGATTAGTGAATTATAGTGGGGTGGGACTGTGTGGTGGGAAATCTGGTGCTAACAGACACTGGCTGGGAGGGACACTAACTGACGCTGACATCGCTAGTGACACTAATACAGTGATCAGTCATCAGATACACTGTACTAATGATACAGGCTGGGAAAGGTTAAAGTGGTTGTAAAGGCTTAAGGTTTTTTACCTCCATACATTCTATGCATAAAGGTAAAAAATCCTTCTGTGTGCAGAAGTGCCCCCAGCCTCCTCTATACTTACCTGAGCCTCATCTCAATGCAGTGATGTGCACTACAGCCTCGGCTGTCCCGGGTCTCTGCCTCCTCATTGGCTGAGACAACAAGCTGGAGTCATTTACTCCCACTGCTGTTAATCACAGCCAGTCAGCCAATGAGGAGAGAGAGGGGGTGGGGTTCAAGCTGCGGCTTCATGTGTGAATGGACACACAGAGCAGCAGGTGCCCCCATAGCAAGCTGCTTGATGTGGGGGCACCCGACAGGAGGAAGGAGCCAGGAGAGCCTGCGGGGGACCCGAGAAGAGAATGATCCAGGCTGCTCTGTGCAAAAGCCACTGCACACAGCTGGTAAGTATACAGGTGAAACTCAAAAAATTTGAATATCGTGCAAAAGTTGATTTATTTCAGTAATGCAACTTAAAAGGTGAAACTAATATATGAGATAGACTCATTACATGCAAAGCAAGATAGTTCAAGCCGTGATTTGTCATAATAGATTTGGCTTACAGCTCATCAAATCCACAATCTCAGAAATTTAGAATATTGTGAAAAGGTGCAATATTCTAGGCTCAAAGTGTCCCACTCTAATCAGCTAATTAAGCCATAACACCTGCAAAGGGTTCCTGAGCCTTTAAATGGTCTCTCAGTCTGGTTCAGTAGGAATCAAATCATGGGAAAGACTGCTGACCTGACAGTTGTGCAGAAGGCTACGTTCACACTAGCCTTGTGTGCAGGCGGCAGAGAGGCATTTTGGGAAGCGTTTTTACTGCTTCCCAAACACCTCTGCCAATTCTGCACATTACAGCACATGGTGCTGTTCTAACAGGAGCATTTGCGTTGCGTCGCGGCAAAACGGACGCCTCTGGTCGAGTCAGGAGGCGTTGAAGCCTCCTATTCTCGTCTATGGTGCCGCTCCTGGTGCCCGGCTGGGCGTTTGCGGTGCGGTTGCGACGCGGTTTGCGGGGCGTTTGCGGAGTGGTAACACCACTCAAACTGCATTATAGGCATTTGTGGGGCGTTATGGGAAGGCTCGGCAAACGCCTAGCAACCTGCCGCTAAACCGCGCATGCGGCGTTTGCAAAACGCTCCACAAACGCCAGACCAACGATTGCCAAACGCTATAGGGGCGTTTGGCAATCGTTGGTGTAAACAGCCAAGTGTGAACGAGCCCGAAAACCATCATTGACACCCTCCATAAGGAGGGAAAGCCTCAAAAGGTAATTGCAAAAGAAGTTGGATGTTCCCAAAGTGCTGTATCAAAGCACATTAATAGAAAGTTATGTGGAAGGGAAAAGTGTGGAAGAAAAAGGTGCACAAGCAGC